ATTTGTTAAGAGTAATATGTAAAATTGAGAATTTGATTTTACGTAATAATTATAATTATTATTTATTTTAATAATTGTTCATTACTGATATGATACACGCTTTAAAAAATTATAAATAGTATGAAATTGTTATGGTATCTTTTGACTTTATTAAATATAATATTTTAAAAATAAATTAAATAAGTAAATAATATTTAATAGCAAATATAAATTAGACATAAAAAAACAAATCATTTCTTATTTGTTAATTTAAATAAATATTTTTAATATAATGGATAATTAATATCGATGGTAGAAAATATTTCTAAAAAATTATATAAAGTCAATATTGATAAATTTAAAAGCAGATGGACTTATTTCTGTGTAGAGACAGCTTTCAGCTCTGTATTGACCCTAGCAATTATTGTTATTCGCTCAACTTTCGTGGCGCTGACATTTTTCGTCATTACTTGTATTCAGGTTTCTAGGTTTGAAAATTTGTACTCCTTCCTTCCATTTTTGGCCAAACATAAATGCAGACTTCAATTTGTTTCATTTGTTTTAGGGAAATACACGAACACTCTCTTAATTTTTTTATGTTTAAGATTTTAAAACATATTATATCTATATTTTGTTTATCTTCTTAACTTTATTTTATAAATAATTTTTTTATTTTTTTTGATCTATATTGCATTAGCTTGAAAAAAATATCAACTTGCGCTGAGCACAGAAGATAGTGTCATGTAGACAAAAAAGGAATAGAAAATTATTTATAAAATAAGTTAATGGGGTACTATGACCTCTTTGTATAATATATGTGTGTCTCTAAAATTTCGGGTATAAGTTGGGATACTTATGTATTTTTCCTTTTTATTTTTAGTTACTTGTTCATTTTAAATTAATACATCATTAAGAAAATAATGATTGACAGAGTGAGTTCTACCATTTTACTCCTATTAATTATGAAATAGATTAATTTTTGTAAAAAAGATATAAATGTCCTCTTACACTATGACTGAAGTTTCAAAGACACAGTTAAACTTACTAGGATCTTATTACCCCCTAAACTAATATAAACGGAATAAATATCACTCAGATGTTGACATAGCATAGAGAGTGCGCACAATATCTTGAATGCAAGTGATGAATGCACAAATTAGACACATGCCTTTTTTTATTGGTAACTTTATAATTAGTTACTCCCTCCATTTCATATTAGTTGAATTTTTGGGGCATTTTCCATTTTTTAAATTAACTTAATTGTTCAGTTTTAAAGTTTATTTTTAGAGTGTTCTTCCAATATTACCTTTCATTTGAATTTTCAGTGTGATGGTTTCAATAAATTTGACAATAATTATGAAGGGTGAAAATGAAAAACTTTGTTCGATTTATGTCTTGATCTATTTTTCTTAAAGGGTATGAAACACTTCAAATTTTCAAATAATATGGAATGAATGGAGTAGTACACATACTTATTGATATAAAACTTATATATAGTAAAACCTCTATAAATTAATACTCGATAAATTAATAATCTCTCTAAAATAATATTTTCCTATTTCATCGAATATCAAAATATCTAAATCGCAGTGTTAAATTCTTATATTTTGATATGATATTTGATATTTATAATACCATACGTTTATAGAAAGAACATTATGAGCAAGTCATTTAGTGGTATAGAGGTGAAAGCATTGACTCCTCTCCAACCACTTATTAATTATAAACCCTCTCATTCCCTTTCAACAAAAAAGAAGAACATCATTAACATTATGTTTCACCTCTTATTTCTGGTATTTTTGTTGGTGAATATTGCAACTTGTGAATTAGGGGAAGGTGGAAGGAGGAGGGGTTTGATTCCTGCCATGTTTATATTTGGAGACTCTTTGATTGACAATGGCAATAATAATAATTTGCCATCATTTGCAAAAGCCAACTATTACCCTTATGGAATTGATTTTGATGGTGGCCCTACTGGTCGTTTTTCCAATGGTTACACTATGGTTGATGAAATTGGTAACACATGTGCATTTATTATCCATCTCTATCAACATATATACATTTATGTTTTTTTTTATTGTTTAACCAATATATATTTGCATAAATTTATATTAATTGTTTTTTATATTTTCATGTGGACAGCTGAACAACTAGGATTACCACTGATTCCAGCACACTCAGAAGCTTCTTCATCAGGAGAACAAATGCGGTTTGGAGTGAACTATGCCTCTGCTGCTAGTGGTATTCTTGATGATACTGGCAGGAACTTTGTGAGTTCATTAATCTTACATACATGAATCAATATTTCTTTTATAAAATAACTTCATCAAATGGCATATTCCTTGATCTTTCAAGGTATAAAATCCAATTTTACTAGTATCATATGGCATAAGAAACGCTTCATTATGTTCCCTTCCTCATTCTCCTTTTCTATTTGGGAAAGAGGCTTGATTTAGCCCCAACTTTATAATTTGGAGCTCATATACTCTCTATTTAAAAAATTGTCTATATATATTTAGTATAGATTCCAAATATAAAAAAGTAAATATGTGAAAAGTACAAAATAAAAAACTGAGCGAGATAAGAGGAAATTATCCTTTTCTATTTGGGAAAGAGGCTTGATTTAGCCCCAACTTTATAATTTGGAGCTCATATACTCTCTATTTAAAAAATTGTCTATATATATTTAGTACAGATTCCAAATATAAAAAAGTAAATATGTGAAAAGTACAAAATAAAAAACTGAGCGAGATAAGAGGAAATTAGTAATCAGAATTCAATAAGTTTAATTTATCTTTCATGCCCCATTTCTTTTACAGTTTTTTAAACTTATATCCTATTTCATCGAGCTTTTTTTGAAAATATTTCTTGTACTTTTTTTCTCTTTTATATTGCAGTGTTCTACTCTTTTTTTTCTTCTTAAATTCAACCACTAAGATATTATAATATATATTTATAAGATAAATAATTGACATTGTAGATTTTTTAGTTCATTTAATTCAATTTTAGGGTCAGTCATTCGTGAAAAAGACAAATGATGAATAGAAAAAATAAGTTATGCTTAGTTTTCATTTTTTTTATAATCGAACTGAAAAAAAATAACAAAGAACTACTAAAAGGTTAAAAGGGGAAAATCAATTAATTAGATTATATTAAAAGATTATTCACGACTTTTTAATTTCTTCATTCGATTAACTTTAGTTTATATATTTAATAATTTTTTGTAAATCAATTTCAAGTTTAATAATAATTAATCGTTAGTACATGGAAAGTGACTTGGGTAGAAATAAAATGAGAAATCTTAGCAAGAAGAATAAAAGACAACATCTAAAATATGTCTAATAAATTTAAACAAAGATAAATTGAAAAAAGAAATAGCATATAGAGAAAATAAATGACAAGAAAATGTTGCAAGCAAAATTGAACCCATAAGCATCTCAATCAAAGTTGAACACCTTAGCTAATGAGTCGTGCCTCTCTTTTGTTTTGAGGGGGTTCATCTTGATATATGTATTCATAAAATCAGAAATAGACCTTATGTATACATTGTAATTTTTCAATGAGGAGGTTCGGGTGAACCCCTGACCTCCACGTGGGTCCGTCCCTATAATGCCCTTGCCGTTATAGAAATGACTCATATATGTTCATTTTTTGACTTTAATTTGAGAAAATGCCATTTGGCGTTTAAAATACCTCACTCAATAACTTTTCAACATACGTATCCGACCCAATTGGAAACAAAAAAATAACCACCACTCAAATAAACCTAACACCATTTTATTGAATCATCCCCACGCTCAAGGGAGAAAAATATATAAAAAAAACAATGTTAAGGTTTCGGTGAGCTTTGAACTAGGTCAATCAGTCTCAAAAATGTTGAAACTCTCAGGTAAGTGTCAAAATTGTCCCTTTACTCTTCTCATATCAAAGGATGGAGAATCAACAACATTCTAAGTCAAAACATTGAAGCCTAAGCTTACTTGTGGCGATCCTTTTGTTGATCCATTGGCAACGTATCGTACCTTGGTTGTTTATTTCAAGGACGAAGTTCAAAATAATCCAAGACACACTATGAAAGAAATGACAAGAATTTTTTTAAAAAAGATTGTCACATCAAATGTCTCGATTTTTAAACTATAAAGCTGAAACAATGGCTCTTGATAAGTTGGAAGGAAGATGACTACAATATGAGTTTTTTTTAATGGTAGGGTTATATATAAGTTAATTTTTAAATTAAGGATATATCAACTCAAAATCATAAAGTTTAGAGTAAATTTTTTTTTCTTTTTAAATATGACGAGCTTCCATTAGTCCGATAAAAAAAAGCAAAATGACCACTCAATTTTTAATGAGCATTTCTATGCCCAACTTGTAAGGGCCGGACTACCTACCCAAAAACTTCTCCGAGTCCCAAAACAAGTATTGCGTTACCAAACAAAAAATTATTTCTAAATATATGTTGCTTTAGATGCAAAACCCAAATAGTAAGTAGTAGTAATTGTTTCCAATTATACATTTAGATTAAGTACTCCATCCGTTTACAATTAATTGTCATATTTTTTATTTTTAGAGTCAAATTATAAAAATTTTAATTAATATTTTATAATATATTTTTTCATCATATTGATATGTAAAAATATGCAATGCATAGTACTTTTCGTATATAAGTAGTTTACTACTAATTTAATATTTTGGTGCAGGTTGAGCGCATTCCATTCAATCAACAAATAAAAAACTTTGAGGATACACTTGATGAAATAACAGACAATCTTGGTGCACCGGATGTGGCACAAGCATTGGCAAAATGCATCTTCTTTGTAGGAATGGGAAGTAATGACTACCTCAACAATTACCTTATGCCTAATTATGACACTAAGAATCACTATAATCCTCAACAATATGCCAATCTCTTGGTTCAACACTATACAGAACAACTCACAGTAAGATTTTACTTTTTCTTTAACTGACATCTATGCCCTTTAATTTAGGTGTGCACAAGTAACCAGTTAAAAGTTATATACAATTTTGTCGTCCTATGTGTATTATGTCACATAGGACATATGCGTCTTTTATACAAGTTTAATGTCTACTTTTAAAGTAGACCTAAAGTTGGAGGGCATAGTTACAAGCTGATCGAAACCAAATTAAAGGACATATATTTATGTATTATACCTTATTTTTTCTTTCACTTTCATATACTTAATATTTATATTGAAATTTCAGAGATTGTATAATCTTGGAGGAAGAAAATTTGTGATTGGTGGAGTAGGACTAATGGGTTGCATTCCAAGCATTCTTGCAAAAAGTAATAGTAATGTGTGTTCAGAAGAAGTGAATGAGCTTATTCTTCCATTCACCAATAATGTTAAGTCAATGCTTACCAACTTAAATGTCAATCTTCCTGGTTCCAAATTCATCTACATTGACATTAAGAACATGTTCCAAGATCTCCTTACCAATTACAGACAATATGGTAAGCAACTTTTTTTTTTCACATGCATGGACAACCATATGATTGAACGTCGAGCAAACGAAAGTGTGTTCATATATATACTATGTTTAATTATTGTATTGATATTGCAGGATTTAGTGTGATAAATAGAGGGTGCTGTGGTATAGGGAGAAATAGAGGACAAATAACATGTCTACCAATGCAAACACCATGTCCAAATAGGAATCAATACATATTTTGGGATGCCTTTCACCCAACTGAGGCAGTCAATATCTTGTTTGCAAGGAAAGCTTTTAATGGTGGTACTGATGTTGTTTATCCCATCAACATTCACGAACTTGCCACCCTTTAATTGATTTGTGTTACTTAGTTGACAATATATGAAGATCATGTGTACTATTATCATGTGTTACAATTGAAAAATCTTTACACGTTAATGCTTCTTCTTTGTTGCCTATTGTACTTGAAACTTAAACTCCCTTGACACCCTAGTAAACAAAATACAGTATATATGCCACCTAATTAAGGGCTAATCATGTCCTAAAAAATAAATGCTTTTATCCCAAAACCAAATCTTGAAACAAGAAGAAACCATCTTAAATTTACAATATATACAGCAGAAAGGTCTCAAAAAACCTATAGTGAAAATGGGGTGGTCTAAGTGTATGGATATATAGTACTACCTTTTAGATGTCTTGGCTTGACCTATTGACCCACCGTAGGTCCATTTGGCCAAAGAAATTGGGCATTACACCTTTCAAGTAGGTCATCAACCCACTGCTCCCTTTTAATTTGGCGTTTGTATTTATTTAGTAGGTGATGCAACTATTTGTCATTATTGATTAATATAGGCCACATATATAAGTTGGCGTTTCTAATTCTTTAGTAGGTGATGCAACTAATTTTTGTTATTAATTGATGTAGGCCACATATATAAGTAGATCTAGTAAGTAGGACGTTCAAACAATTTGCTCAACGACGTCTAAACAAATAGGATGTTTAAACAAGCAAGACGTCTAAGCTAGTTGGTCACTTTGTCCATCATTCATTTTTCTTTCCAAATAATACTTTTTTTTAAAAATTATTACATTCACTTTTGCAAATTTTGAACACGTTAGACTGAAGTCTTAATTATATTCTCCTTTCTTTTAACTCGAATAATCTCGTGGATGTTAACCGTATACTTTTGCTTTTGGCGAAAGTAGAAATCTTGGCGACAATGTCTTCTTCAATTTAACATAACTTTTAATATAGAACTCGGATTGATGAACTATTTATTTTACTGAAAACTAGACCCAAAAACTGTTGATTTGAAAGTTAGTACATCCTTTGATTATTCATATGTAGGGAGATATGATTTTTAAATCGGAAAAGGACGAAAAATACTCTTGTGCATTTGAAAAGGTTTAAATATATCGGTAGTAACTTAAAATTTATCAAATATAAATTTATAAAGTTGTTCGGATTATATTAAATTAGTGCATATATTAGTCCAAATAAATATTATGGATTAATATAATTGATTTGATATTTAAATTCAAAAAATATGAACTTAATTAAAGTCCCTCCATAAAGCCCATATGACATGTCATTTAGAATTGATTGACCGAAGGGAGTCCTATTCTGATCACAACTCCTCTATTCTAAAACTATAAATAGGGGTCTCATATTTCAGAAAAGAAAGATCATGAATTTTAAAAAGAAGTTAGAGAAAGCTCGTGGATCAAAACCTGCATATTTCTCTACAAGTTCAAGAGTTCAAACATTCAAGAACGATAAAGATCAAGAACGATCAAGATCAAGATTGTCGGATTCAAGATCAAGATTGAAGCCCTTGGATTCAACTAGAAGTGAAGATCAAGATAAAGTTCAAGTCAAGATCAAGATCAAAATCAAAATGAAGTTCAAGTCAAGATCAAGACCGTCAGATTCAATATCAAGCTCGAAGCCTTTAGATCCAACTAGAAGTCAAAATCAAGATAAAATTCAAGTTCAAGTTCAAGTCCAAGTCCAAGATCAAGATTAAGATAGAGATCAAGATCAAGTCCAAGTCCAAGATCAAGATAGATATCAAGATCAAGAAGAATCCCAAGTCCAAGATCAAACTCCAAGTCCATGTCCAAGATCAAGATCAAGATAGAGATTGAGATCAAGTCCAAGTTCAAATTCAAGTTCAAGTCCAAGATTAAGATAGAGATCAAGTTCAATTTTAAATCCAAGATCAAGTTCAAAAATAAGCTTTAAGCCCTTGAATCCATATTGAAAAGGCAAATTCAGAGGAATCATAGAGATTGTAACACTCACATTTGAAATAATAAATCGATTGTTGCTATAATTTTTCATTCTTGATTATTGGTTTCTTGACTCGAATTTTATTGTCTACAAACTCTGGCACACCCAGTGGGACAATCTCTAACTCCCATCTCAACTTTTCAAGCATCAAAGAATAACCAAATGTCTTCCACTATAGAAGAACAACTAGCAAGCTTAACTAAAGCAATTGAAGGCCTGACAAAGTGCGCACACGAACAAGATGCTAAACTTTTCAAGCTAACAAATAAGATAGATAACATGATTGAAAGAAGATCAAGTCAATCACCTATGAAGCTTTCTAAAATTCAAGATGAAAGAGAGACTTGCGTAAAATAAACAAAGATAAAAAAACATTCATATCTCAAACTGAAGGTTTGATTCCAATTGATCAATTACAGAGCTTTATCATAAAGGCTATCGAAGACAAGTCTGAGTCTTTATCTAAATTTTCTCCCATATATGCAAAGCCATATACACAAAGGACTGATAACTTGAAAATGTCTGAGGGTTATCAACCTCCTAAACTTCAACAATTTGATGACAAAGGAAATCCAAAACAACATATAGCTCACTTTATTGAGACTTCTAATGCTGTTGGGACGTATGTTGATTTTCTTGTTAAAGAGTTCATTCGATCTCTCAGAGAAAATGCCTTTGATTGAATTCTATAGATAGTTGGAAGAGATTAGAGCAAAAGTTCCTTAATCGTTTCCACAGCACAAGACGTGTTATTAGTATGATGGAACTTACAAAGTCTTGTCAAGGTGAAGATGAATTAGTTGTTGACTTTATCAATCGCTGGAGAAGTCTGAGCTCAAATACAAAGATCGCCTTAGCGAAATTTCTAGCATTGAAATGTGTATCCAAGGTATGAATTGAGGTCTTCACTACATTTTGCAAGGATTAAAGCCCAATACATTCGAAGAGTTGGAAAATCGTGCACATTACATGTAATTAAGCATGGATTTAAGATAAGAACAACAATCTCCTGTTTATGGACCTCATAAATATGAAGATATATAATAACTCCAAAGTTGGGGCAAGTCTGCATCTGAAAATGACTTTGAAGAGTCAATGTATATCTAGACGCTCCTTAACGTATGAGCTTAAATTGGAAGTTACAATGCTCCTTGAAACACGAGCTTAAACTGTATGCCACTTAAATCTTCAAATCCTTGAAACACAGGCTTAAACTGTATGTCACTTAAATATTCAAGTTGAAATGCTCCTTGAAACACGAGCTTAAACTGTATGTCACTTAAATCTTCAAGTTTGAGTTAACTCTTCAAGTTGAAATGCTTCTTGAAACATGAGATTAAACTGTATGTCCCTCAAATCTTCAAGTTTGAGTTAAATCATCGAGTTATAATGCTCATTGAGACACAAGCCTAAACTGTATATCATAAAGCTCTTGAAATTTGAGCTAAATCTTCAAGTTGAAATGGTCCTTGAGACACGAGCCTAAACTATATATAATAAAACTCTTTAAATTTGAGCTAAATCTTTAAGTTAAAATGTTCCTTAAGGTATGAGCCTAAACTACATGTCACTCCTGGCCCGCAAGAGTGTAAAATGGGTACGTCATAACAACAAAAAATCACTCACTCCTTTATAAATACGTTGTGACTTGATCCTCTTCATTGAGGTACGTAGGCACTTAGAACCATATAATAAGTTCAGTTTCATGAGTGTCAAAAAATAAAATGTTTCCACTTGATCTATTACATGAGATAAAGCTATGAGTAATCTTTCATAAAATTTGAGACTTGAACCAAATGGTGGTGACTCAATGGGGGAAAAACCCTTATGAATAAAATTGTTTCAAGATGAAATCTTCAAATATCCAAATATTCAAGTTGAAGTCTTTAAATTCTTCAAGCCTAGTCTTTGAATGATAAAATATCACGACAAGACTTGAAGAAGGGGGCATTTGTAGTCACTTAAAATTTAATAAATATAAAATTATAACGTTGTTTGGATTATATCAAATTAGTGAATATATTAGTCCAAATAAATATTATGGATGAATATAATTGATTTAATATTTAAATTTAATAAATATGAATTTAATGAAAGACCTCTCCATAAAGCCCATAAAACATGTCAATTAGAATTGATTGGCCGAAGGGAGTCCTGTTCCAATCACAACTCCTCTATTCTAAAACTATAGATAGGGGTCTCATAATTCAAAAAAGAAAGACCAAGAATTTAACAAGAAGTAAGAGAAAGTTTGTGGATCAAAATCTATATATTTCTCTACAAGTTCAAGAGTTCAATAATTCAAGCATTTAAGAACGATAAATATAAACAACGATCAAGATCAAGACCGCCAGATTCAATATCAAGATCGAAGCCCTTGGATTAAACTTGAAGTCAAAATCAATATAAAGTCTAAGTTCAAGTTCAAGATTAAGATAAAGTTTAAGTCAAGATCAAGATCAAGATAAAGTTCAAGTCAAGATCAAGATCGCCGGATTCAAGATCAAGCTCGAAGCCCTTAGATCCAACTAGGAGTCAAGATTAAGATAAAGTTCAAGTTCAAGTTCAACATCAAGTTCAAGTCCTAGTCCAAGTTCAAGTCCAAGTCCAAGTCAAAGATCAAGATCAAGTCCAATTCCAAGATCAAAATCAAGAGAGAGATCAAGATCAAGATAAAGATAAATCCCAAGTCCAAGATCAAGATCAAGACATAGATAAAGATCCAGTCTAAGTCCAAGTCAAAGATCACGATCAAGATAGTAAGTCCAAGTTCAAGTTCAAGTTCCAAGATCAAGATAAAGATCAAGTTCAAGTTTAAATACAAGATCAACTTTAAGAACAAACTTAAAATCCTTTGAATTTATATTTGAAAATATAAATTTAGAAGAATTATATAGATTATAACACTCACATTTGAAATAATAATTTGATTGTCGCTAATATATTCCGTTCTTGATTATTATTTTATCGACGCAGTTTTTTTTCTCTACAATACCCTTTATCCACCTATTGAGCTAAAAATATCCTTTAGTCAATCTTTTCCGACTATTATTACCCTTTAAACTAACAACCTTATTTTTTAAAATTATTACATGACATCTTTTTATTGAATAAATTTAAATTCCAACCCACCAAACTTTTCCCGATCCACCCGAC